GTATGTGTAGATTAAGTCACCAAATTTTCAGCCATGTAGCTTTTGTGGATCTCGAGATGAAAACTCTTTACAGACGCACACACAGACACACATACACACACACACACACATACACAAACAGACAGCCCCTCGACAAAATGCGTTTTTGCATTGCATAGCTGCAAAAAACGCACAAAAACTAACAGCTGTAAAATGTAGTCGTTCAAAGTAAATATCAAAGCTAGAAAGTCATATGTGAAGAAGCGTTTAGCACTTACACGTATGGTTGCTTGATGTTTATATGATGGTGGCTCTTTTCTGCTGTCTTTTTCGGTAAACATTATTTTGTTTTTGAATAAAAAGAGATAACGTTCGACGGGCTCATCGTCACCTTCTCGGACCATGAATGCATCCTGAAAAATTTTGTTAAATGCAGCGGCAATTTTGAAAACTTTTTACGATTATCTTGTCCATCATGAAGAAGCACAGGAAGGGCTCTAGTTCATAGCTAGTTTTCAACCTGCAAATTTTCCAGTTGCTTTGATAAATGCTGCAAGATTGACGGTCAGTTTTTGGTGATCCTGACATTCGTTTTGTCTCCAGAAGAGATTACCAACATGACGGCTCTTCTAAGAGAAGCATTCAGCAAGGATTCAGAGTCACTGTGAGATGTCTTCAGTGCATGTTGAGTGTCGAAAATTCGTCAGTAACGCTGTCCCTCCCAAGCAATAATGAGGATCCTTATCAGCTTGGAATGAGGAAAGAACAGTTCAGCTTAACAACGTTGAAAATCTGTGGTATATTAAAGGCCCAGAAAAGAAAGTAGAGGTCTGCAACTGAAAAAAACAGATTTCTTGACAGAAACAATGCCGGACAATTTTAAAGCTGTAGTTTTTCTGGATTAAATGTTGCCTGCTGACCAAATTGGAGACTTTTAGTTATAAATGTCACCCATTCCTTTGCTTGCAATGATCTGTATTTCAGTTAATTCCAGTATTTAATTTCTACATTCACCTAACAAACTCACATATTTTGAAAGTTGTTACATCTTTAAGGGGCTAAAAATTTCAGGGTTTTCGTATTAATTATAGTTCCGAAAGCTAATCTTAAGCTTTTTAAACTTTAAAATTATGAAGCGCAAACTTTATGATTTTGTAGTGTCTTTTTAGGTACCTTTTCAGTGCTTTTTTGCTTACTGTAGAATTCACTCGAAACTTCTGATTTGTTTACATTACTTTTCTTACAGGTTTTTTTTTTCCGTAGACTAAATGAGTAAATTTCCATTGCGAATATTGGATTGACAGGATAGGAAATTTCAAAAATCATTCAGAAATCAAAAGTAGCGCTAAATTCTTTGCTTTCAGAATTGTAATTTAGATTTTCTATGTTTCTTGGAAACTGTGCTCAGTGAAAGTAAAATTAAATTATTTGCGCATGGAAAAATGAAACACCAACAATTGAGTTTATAAAGAAACTTAAAAAGCGCTAAAAGTAAGGTAAAAAAGCATAAATTTAGAAGCCCGTAAGAAATTTTTTACAGAAAGCCACAAAAACATTAACTAGCGGAGATGCATACGTGTCTATAAAGCCGGCCGAGTTTGTTCAGATCACCGGGATACTGTTCGATATTCCGGATGTAGACCATATCAGCTGCTCGCTCGGGCACCGACATTGTTAGCTCAAGCGCTTTTTGCATCGATTTTGTGTTTAGTTTCGCGCGTGCTGTATATTTGACAAGTTCCTTGAAAAATTTTTAATAAATTTTTACTTTTCTCAAAAAAAAATCATATTATTCATCTTTCCTTTCCCGTTAATGGGTAGGTACGAGGACGAGGGGGGGGGGGGGGCAG